AAAAAAAAAAAAGAACTTGAAAACAATTTAAGTGTTTATTTGTTTCGTATTTTCTTCTTTTTTTTTTCTTCTTCTAAACTAAGAAAAAATCAAAAATTTTCAGCCACTAATTGGCTTCATCTAACCCAAACAAACAAAAACAGACTGAATTTATTGCGAAAAAAAGGAACTCCTTTGGATAACGTCAATTCTTAAAAAAAAAGCAAATAATTTTCAGCAATACTTCACTGAACAGTCAAGTCAATAAGTCATCAGTCAGTGAAAATTTTCCAATAAATCAGTAAAAAAATTTTACTTTTTTGGGACATAAACCGCTTGAATATTTGGCCAGATCACCGTTCATGCAGCCTTTCAAACTTTTACGCCGTGTTAATGGCGTTAAATCTTCTGCATAACCCAACAACATTGCAATACTTTCGTCAATGTCTTGGTTAGCCCTAAAATTCAAGTGTTGCTGACTGAAAAACCGCCTAAGATGGATCATATGTCACATTCTTCAAACGGATGATACTTCTCAGTCAAGCCAATTAGCATTGTTTTTTTTTTTTTTGTTCTTTCTTTTCTTAATAAATTGCTGAAAAAAGGAGTAAAAATTACTTTCGTTTCCGCTTTTTTTTTAGCTCTCTAGACATATGTCAACTGATCGATAGGTAAAAAAAAACACAGCATAAATTGTAATGATGCGATCAATTTTACCTTCACTCTTCAGTTTTCATTTGAAAAAAAAAAAAAGAAAAAGTTAGGAATCAAAATCCTAATTGCTAAATAACCCGTCGAAAGCTGAATAAATGCTGCAATAAATTTTAAATGATATACCACCTTCTCACAAAAAATAATTTGGAATTTCGTTTTTAAATCTAAATTCTGATATCACATTTGAACCAATTTTCCAATTTTAAAGATTGAGTTAAGACTTGTTTGTCTGAGCTGCCCAAGATTAACCAGGTATATCCCTGCTTCACCAAAACACGCTTTACTCCTCCATTACAATACATAATATTTTTAAAATTAAAATAATTAAATGCTTTACAAAAAACATTATCAGACGTGAATTTGTCAAGGCAGCGAATAAACTGTTCAATTTAAAAAATAGGAAAGTTTTGCTGTAACGACTTACCGCAACTGACGATCATTTGTTAGATGGAGTCGAATTTTATCGTTTCTTTTAATCATATTACCTAGGTCGTCATTGGATACGTCATCAACAGGCTCAGGTCGTATAATCCGAGAAGGTGTTGAGCGGCTCGAATGTAACGTAGGAGATGACGACTTTGGACTTGTCGAATGATAACCTGGTAAGTTCCCCACAAGATTACCGAGGTTTATAACAGACTGAGCTGGCTGACCTCCCGCAAATTCAGAGTCCGGAAAAAATTGATTTGACTTGAGATCAACTGCGGTTGGATCTGCCGGCTCGTTAATCCAGTCAAAAGAACTTGATCTTGACAACGACACCGGACTTGTCTGTGTCCCTACGTCCTAAAGAAGTTGAAAGTACAAGTTGTTATAGAGTAACTCGGTCAAAAAGTTTAAAAAAAAAAACAAGGACATTAACAATTATTTGACGATTCCATATTGATGAAACGTTACAGAACCTGTTGCAACACAGTTCCATTAGTGCTAAATCTATTTGGCTGTAGCTGTAAACACCGATCTAAAGCCTTATAGCGGGTTTCTTCAGCAGCACGGATCAACGATGCAACAACTCCGTGTACAGACTGACGATTTTCAGAATTCTGAATTCGCGCGACAGTTTCGCGAGAACCCCGAGCTGCTGAAGCTGATAAACGATTCTCCGACGCTTCAAGTGCCCGTTCTTCCACCTGGACAATCAAAAAAAAAAAAATAATTTTTTTTTTTTTTGTTGAGATACTTTTGATAAGCAATTAGGCAAAAAAATTTTAATTACTTTAAAAAAGTTATATTGCTTAATATTTTACTAGTATAGTTTAAGAAAACAATTAGAAAAAAGTAGATGGACTGTTGTCTAGACAAAGCCATTTAGTTCCCAGAATACCTTCAACATTGATCTTTCTTATCAGCAAGTTTCTCAGGCAAAAACAAAAAAAAAAGAAAGAAAAAATTCATTTTCGGATACGAACGATCGGTGGCTGCTTTTCGACATTGTTTTCAGCCAAAAAGTCAACAAAACTATGTTGCTTTTTTTTATGTTCTTTTAAAAAAATTTCTAACAGAACACTTCTCTTCCTATTCTTTTCTGTACAAATGATTGAAAAAAAGAAATGCCTTTTCCAAAAAAAGGCAAAAAAAAAAAA